GCTTTCTTCTGATTTGAGCATTTCTTCATAATGTTAATTATTTTCTCTGTTAACTTAATGTCTTTGAACTTTCCAAAAGGTTCATTTTACACATTGAACATGAGATTCCAAGCTAGAGAAAACCTCACACTTAAGCAAATTTTCACCAAAAATCGTCCTCGATCAACCATTGGCTAGAAAAACTTTTAGCCCATTCAGCCACAAGGAGAATTTCTTTTGATGACAAAATGACACGAATAATAATAACCATGTGTTGAAACAAATTCATATGTGCAAAAAGATGATAAAGACTCTTACAACACCCAACCTGTTCGAAATCCATTAGGGGATAGATCCTCGGCTGATACAAGAAAATTGCCAGCTGCACCATTCACAAGTATGTCAAGCCTACCAAAATGCTGGAAAGTTGATTCCACCACTCTTTTTGCATCTTCATGTTTACGAACATCCCCCTCCAAACCAACAGCCTGAAACGAAAGAAATAAAATAAAATAAAATCTAGAGCTATATAACCAACTAATTTCAAGTCAGAAATAATGTCTGCATGTCACAAGCAAGTCAGTGTCATATAGATAAGTGCCTGGAAGCAGCCAAGAAAAGTGACTCAGAAAGCTTTTGAATGGACCCTTAGCAGACTAACTGGAATTTTTTGTATTATTGTTGAACAAGTCGATGCAGCCACTGTAAACTAATCAATATAATTTTAGAACTTATGAACTAACACTAAACCACTACTCCCACAGTTGGATTTTGAGCCAGTTGATGCCAGTGAATAAGACCACAGCGACCCACAAGCCGCCAAGTAAACTCTAGAACCTACCTCCTTGTGTTGCTCATAGTTTTCAACTTTTAATTTCATATCTCAAACCATAATGCATTTCTGCCTTCGAATTATTAGTTTTAATCAATTGACCTCGTTGTAACTAAAATAAATGAAACACACCTTTGCAACTCCAAAGTATATAATCCCACGATCACATAGCAAAAGAGACAGGCAAACATGCATAATTTAACACTTGTAATTCCTTGGCATCAAAGTATAAATTAAACTCCGAAACGAAATTCAAAATTTCACCAGCTTTTTCCATCAACCAAGCAGAACCATAATTTTTATTTCCTGGCCAAAAAAAATCTATTTCACTTCCCTCATTTATCAGCAACCAAACAAGCACACGACACGAAAACAAAAAAAAAAGAAAAGGTTTTTTAGGTTTTAGACGTAAAAAAAATTTCGCTTTTGAAAAAAGCCAAAGCTTTTTCAAAAAAGACAAAAAAAGACACTTAACTTTCAAATCAAAGACATGCAAATGTATTGGATTTCTTAGGAAATCTAAAAATAAATAAGGGCATTTTTGTCCATTTTTGCTTCTTTTAAAATTTTTCTCTCTCCTTTTCTTTTTCCAAAATGTCCCAAAAAAATACCAGATGGGGAATTAAAGCATAGTGGGAAATTCAATAAATTTCCTCAGTTTTCTCATCACCCAATTACCAAAGTAGTTCAATGATAAAAAAGAAAACAAAGAGACCCAAAATGGGCAAGAACAGAAGTATGTCTGTTCCATTTTCCTCAAGTTTCTGAGCAACCAAACAAGCCCAAAGCTAAAAAAGATAGCCCAGATGAAGAAACACAAAAAGCAAGAGCTTGAAAAACAGAAGATACCTGAATTCCAAGAGACCGAAGAGCCGAGACAGCAGAGTCAAGGACTTGCTTGCGTCGACCCATGATGGCAATGGAGGCTCCATGCTTGCCAAATTGGGTTGATATTTCGAACCCAATCCCCGACCCTCCTCCTGTTATCAGAGCCACCTTCCCTTTCACCACATCAGCCTTGAACGGTGACTCCATCTCTCTTAATCTGATTTTCTCTGTTTTGCTTTCTCACTATGGAACTCTTGTTTTGTTTCATACAAGAATACAGTTTGTGGTCCAAAATAAAGGCTTTTTTTTATGACAAAATGTCATTTAAGTTTGCGAAATTGTATTTCCGTCTAAAAATCTGTTAAACTGATGACGCACACGTGTGGCCTTAATGTATGCAATGATATGACGCCACGTGAATTGAATAATACTCTCCAGGCCAATCCCACCATTCTCTCTCTCTCTCTCTCTCTCTCGTGTCTCAAATCTGGGGAAGAACTTACATTACATGTAACAGGATGCCACTGTGATGGTATTCTACTTATCCCATATTGCTATGTCGGAAAGTTGCATTAGCATATCGGAAAGTGACCTAAATACTTCTACGGCAGCTGGACTCTTCGCTGCCACAGACACCAACCCCATTTGTCTCATCCAATCCTCATAGGGTACCTCTTTGAAAAACCCAACCCACCTATCTTCTTCTCAATTATCCAATCTAAGCCTCACTTATGTAATTACGTAGAAAAACTTGTAACGGGAATATCACTGTTTTGTTATCTCCAATTAATAATGCAAGAACATATAAAAAAGTTATCCCGCATTTCATTATGCTATTGACCGAAAGTACTATCTTCACTGCATAAATAAGGCTAACACATGAGACAAAACTTAACAACAAAAAATAAACAAATTGATCAAGATGAAAACCACAAAACCAACAGTACGAATACATCAGACCAAACCTAGTAGGATCGATGGGGGCAAGGAAGCCCATTCTTAGGTAACTTTTTTTCTTTTTTCCCTCCCTTTTTAAAAATTATAATTAATTGACGGAAATACACTTAAACAAAAACGAAATTCGAGTTAGACTTAAACTGAATTAGATGTAGATGGTGAATTGTAATATTTTACAAAGTTCATGTGTTTAAAATTAAAAATTCATGTGGTAATAATGTACATGTCTAAAAATTAAGGTGATATCATACAAATTTCCCTATTTATTAGTAAATTATTTTCATTTTGGCGCTAACCACGGAGCAGCCAAACGGTGTCGTTTCTGCCACACCCGAAGTTAAAGGTTAAAACTTTCGTCCCAAGCGCTCTACTTTCAGTGAAGCCAAACACCATGGACGAAGAAGAAAACACAGTCGACATAGACTTCCCTCTCTTCAAACCATTCAGACCCAAGACCCCAAAACCCTCCCAAACCTCTAACCCTAACCCTACTCCTACGCCAGACCCCTCCAGCACTGAAACCGAAATCGAAAAATCCACAAACCCTAACACTGACTCCGCCGCCAAATTCTCCGACCTGGGGCTCGCCGACTGGGTCCTGAGAACATGTACCGAGCTCGGTATGCGGAAGCCCACGGCGGTCCAGACCCACTGTATCCCCAAAATCCTGGCGGGACGGGACGTCCTGGGCCTTGCCCAGACCGGCAGTGGCAAAACGGCGGCGTTTGCGCTGCCGATACTGCAGCGGCTCGCCGAGGACCCTTTCGGGGTTTTCGCGCTGGTGATCACTCCGACTCGGGAGCTGGCGTACCAGCTGGCTGAGCAGTTCAGGGGTCTGGGGTCGTCTCTGCACTTGCGGTGCTCTGTGATTGTGGGAGGCATGGATATGTTGACCCAAGCTCAGAGCTTGATGGCTAGACCGCATGTGGTGATTGCCACGCCGGGAAGGGTTAAGGTCTTGCTTCAGCAGAATCCGGATATTCCTCTTGTGTTCTCCAACACCAAGGTAATTGGTCTTATTTTAGCTTGCGATGTGGTGAAGCGAAATGTATTAAGTATTTGGAAATTCAATTGTTCTTGATGTGTGGATTGTTTGTGTTAATGTGGGTGTTTTAATATTTAGGAATTGTAATTATTTATCTGAAATTTCGGCCTCTTTATGAAAATGGGATCATGTATGGGAAGCTAAGGATTTTTTTTTGAGAAATGTTGATTTGTAGATGATTAGGATTTTTAATGAAAAGATTGTTTGAAGATAAAAAATTTGCAATGGATTTTACTTGTTTTCTAGTTATCCAGGACGAGGAGCATATGGTGTTTTTATTTGTCATACTCACCCTGAAGTTCCGAACTCAGCACTTATAGTTATAGGTTATTTCATTTTCTTTCAGTTCCTAGTTCTTGATGAAGCAGATAGAGTATTGGATGCTGGCTTTGAAGAGGAGTTGAGAGTGGTGTTTCAGTGCTTGCCAAAGAGTCGGCAAACTCTGTTATTTTCTGCAACAATGACGAGTGACCTCCAAACGCTGATTGAACTTTCTGAAAATAAGGCATACTTCTACGAGGCATATGAAGGTTTCAAGACAGTTGACACTCTTAAGCAGGAATATGTTTTCATATCCCAAAATGTGAAGGATGTGTATCTGGTATACATTTTGTCTAAACTTGAGGATATGGGTGTTCGCTCTGCCATTATTTTTGTCTCAACCTGCAGGTATTCTTTCTTTTAAGATCTTCGTCTGGATTTTCTCGGGCTCTTCTACTTCTAGTGCTTATGTTATAGTGCCATGGGTGGCTCTTTTGTTGAATGTCTAACCAATTGACTTACAGATCATTAATTAATTATTAATCTATGATTTTATGATGTGTGAGCAGAAGTTGTCACCTTTTGAGTTTGTTATTGGAGGAGCTTGATCAAAGAGTTTCAGCATTGCATTCATTCAAAGCTCAGTCTCTAAGACTTGCTGCATTACATCGATTCAAATCTGGACAGGTTCCTGTGTTGCTCGCAACTGATGTTGCCAGTCGTGGTCTGGACATTCCTACAGTTGACCTAGTAATCAATTACGACATTCCGAGGTCTTATTTGTCAATGGATTTTAATTATTGCTACTCTGTAGAAAATGTAGTTCAAGTAGGATTTAATCGCCAATCTACTTGCAGGTATCCAAGGGATTATGTTCACCGCGTGGGGCGTACTGCAAGAGCAGGCAGAGGAGGATTAGCTATCAGCCTTGTTACTCAAGTAAGTAGCAGACTTGGTCATTGTGAATTGAGTTAAAATTATCATTTTGTAGCTCAGTAATCTCTTTCCTAGTTTCCACCGGTCCCAACAAATCTGTGGTGGTCGTTCACAGTTCTAACTATTGAGAACTGGAAGGAAGATGGTTTTTTATTAATTTTCTTTTCTTTTGTTTGAAACAAAAATAAAGAGATTATTTGTCGAGAGAGTAGTATTTTTGTTTAAAACAGGGAGATTGTGTTTTGCAGAATGATGTAAAGCTCATTCATAAAATAGAAGATGTTGTTGGGAAACAAATGGAGAAATTTGAGTGCAAGGAGGATGAGGTTCTTGCTGATATTACCAAGGTATTGCCTTAGTAAATATATGTACCAGCTATTGGCTTGGTAAAGCTTGTGGAAAAATTATTCGTCAATTCGTCAATTCGTCAATGTCCATATTTAGTTTGGAAATGTTAGCTTATGTATTTCACCCCCAATGTGCAGATTTACAAGGCTAGGCGTGTTGCAGCGATGAAGATGGTGGATGATGGGTTTGAAGAGAAAGAGAAAGAACGGAAAAAACAAAAACTAAATACCCTAGCAGAGAAAGGTTTATTGAAGAAAAGGAGTCTGAAGAGGAGAAGAGAAAAATCTGCTAAATAAGTGGCTCCACCTTTCGTCCTCTGCGCTCTCTGCATATGGATTATAGAGCTTTCCTGGTTCAAGTCTACAACAAGATCTTTGGCCATGCAACATGAAATGCCAATTGTATCATTTTTTGTAGTATAGGCGGTTAATACAAGAATATAATATCTATTTTTCATCTTACTATTTTGTTTTTGTTAATTGTGTCAAGCTTATGAATGAAATCTTCTTCCCAAAAAAAATGTCAAGCTTTGTATGTCTGGAAAAGTGACTTAATTTAAGAAAGAAATTTTCTTTGGCACAATTTGAATAAAATCCTCAAGCCACTCGGTCTCTACTGCTTTTCTCTCTTTTATGCTCAGCCTTCCCTCTTATTCTTGGTTTCAAAGAAGAAAAAGAACTGGTTTCATGCGAGGGAAGTGCTTACTCTGCGAAGGGACAAAATGAAAATTTGGGAAATGGGGTTGGGTAGAAAAACCTTCCATATAAACGATTGCCAAGAAAGGTGGTGGATTTGATTTGAAGTCTCAAGTCGTAAGTCTTGAGTTTTAAGTTTCTTTGATAATATACGTACTATTTTTATTTCAGATTACTTTAATGTGAAAAAGTATACGGTAGAAAAAGTGAAGAATACTAACTGGCCTTTATTAGAGGTATTTTAATATTGGACTCAAAACACATGAGAGGACCATATATATTTTGAGCAATGTCTCGTTTCACCCAACTATCACCTTAATCGAACTTACCCCATAAACTAAAAAAATCTGCCAATTTAGCACTTGAACCAAACGAATTCGCTAATTTCGCCCATATCGTTGGATTTCAGATGATTTCATCTAAAGTTTCGTCAAAATTCACACGCGAGGCTCACGTAGAATATAACTAGAGGGCAATTTCGACCTCACATGAGTGGGACCCACATCAAAGCCAAGTAAGACCCACCTGTGAATTTTGATGGAAGTTTGGATGAAATCATCTGGAATCTACAGTAGGGGTGAAATTAGCGAATTCATTTAATTCATGTGCTAAATTGACAGATTTTTTAGTTCATGGGGATAAGTTCGATTAGGGTGATAGTTCATGGGGTAAACAATTAAAAATCCTATATATTTATAGTAAGTTCGATACTTAATTGTGATTAGCGAGTCCGGATATGCTACCCTCAAATTCCATCATAGTATTTTTGTAACTATCCTATCTTTATGTTTAGTGGTATTTCTCTTACCGGTTAGGTTGCCATTTGGTTTAGTAATAACCAAACCAATCGATTGCCAACCGATTTTTTGCGTATGAACATTGCTTTTTACAATTCAAAAATTGAGAAAAAAAAATCCAAAATTGAAAAATACCACACTGAAATACATGGAAGAACTTAAGAAAACTGTTAGGTTTGGTGAAAACCAAATGAACCGGTTACCAACCGAATTTTAATTTTGGTATATTAATGAATTTTCCCAATCTGAAATCGAAAAATCCAAAAGCAAAATACCAAAAAGAATTGGTTTGGTTTTGGTAAATACTGAGACTGACCAATTACCAGCTTCTTTTTATCGAAACATATGGCAGAACTTTTTTTGTTATGGTATTAGGTTTTTGCAATACGGAAATCCAAAAATACGTAAAGAGTTACGAGAAGGTATAGTATTCACTCACTAATACTAAGCTAACACTTCTACTATTATTTCTAATATTTATATACTAAGATACATACATATGCGTATGTGTATATATACACACATATATACCTACAAACTTTATAGTACGACAAATACCAGAACACATATAATGCTATTAACACTTTGATTAAATTATACAAACACACATATATTATCAAATTCCTTGTTTGTTCTTCTAATGATGTACTTAAGAATGCATTCATTAAGTTTCTTTAAGAGTTCCAATTTTTTAAGAAGGTAAATCTAGAAGAAGGAACACCTTTTTATTTTCCTTGTGTTTTTTCATTCTTTATTTTTGTGGTTTCCAAGAAATTTAAGATAAAAAATTCCTAATTTGTAGGACGTGTTGAAATCTTTTAAGCCATGTCCACGTGTCATGCACTTACCCGGTCTTCCTCCACAAACAGCTTTTCCCGGGTAGCTGCAGGGCCTGTGATTTTCAAAATTTTTTTGTTTTTGTTTTTGTTTTTTTTTTTGCGAGAACACGATTAAACACACTCACTCACTTCCAGCTCTCCCTAATTTTTCGTCGAATTGGTACAAACCAAATCCTAATTTGGAAATTAACTTTTCAAATTCCATTTCCCCGAAACCACACTCCCTATAAATCCCTATCATAATCTCGACAAATCAAACACTAATCCCCTTGTTTAATCTCTCTCCTGAAACGATATGTCGGCCGAGGAGGAGAAGAGCGACGCCGCGCTGGACGGGGAGAAGACGAAGATCTCGCTCAAGACCTCCGAGGGCGAGGTCTTCGAGATCGATGAGAACGTCGCGATGGAGTTTCACACCGTCAAGGCGTTCTTCCAAGACGAAGGCGTTTCGCGCGAAGTGGTGATGCCGATCCCCAACGTCAACAGCGCCGAGCTCGTCAAGATAATCAATTTCTGCACCAAAACGCTTGAGCTCAAGCGCAAGGCCGATCACGAGGATAATGCGAAGAAGGAGCTCCGGCTGTTCTACCAGGACTTCGTCAAGGACGAGACCACCGAGCACATCATGGAGCTGATCCTGGCCGCCGATTACTTGCACGTCGATGATTTGCTCGAAGTTCTGAACCAGTGCGTGGCGGATCGGATCAAGAACAAGAGCGTTGAGTATGTGAGGAAGCTGTTCGGAGTCGAGAACGATTTCACGCCTGAAGAAGAGCAGAAGCTCCGCGAAGAGTACGCTTGGGCTTTTGAAGGAGTTGATGAGGACTGAGCAAATTTACTCTACAGTAAATTCTAATTGAAATTGACCACACACAGATTATAAAAAAAATGAAATGAAAAGAAAGTTGCTATTCTTTTTTTTCCTTTAATGTTGGAATTAGGGGTAGGGTTAATTTCTGTGAAGGTAAAAATGGGGAAGATCGGTAGTGAATGGATGAATAGAAGAAGAATTACAGCTTAAAGTGTTTTTTTTTTTTGGGTTCCATTTTAAATAAAGAAATTTAATTTTCAAGTGCAGACTTGTGGATTGTTGGTGTATGTGGATTTCTTCCATGCATGTCTTGACCACTATTGGAAAACAACAAAGAAAGCAAATTGGTGACTGGTTTATGTTGATGCGTTATGGGAAGTGCTGAACTTAGTTAAGAAATCTTGGATTGAGTTCTTCTTGGGTACTCTTGTGTTAGCTTGGAAGTGTTTGAGGCTTAGGAAGATAATAATACAAATAAGGCTTAGGAAGATGTTTTGCAAAAGTATATGTAGTTTGAGATGGTGCATGAACAAAGATTTTTCTTTTTATAGAGAAGGAAAAAGAGAGAGGAGCTGTTGAGGAGCAAGTTGGTGAACAAATTGGGAAGTGAAGCAGCACCACATTGAATTGAGGTAGGGGGTTTTGAACAATAAAATATTTGAATTGTTTTAATGATGTTTTCTACAATTGTACATATGCTTTTTGTGCTTTGTTTAATTGTACGGTCGTTTCAAGGGAATTTTTAAAAAAAAAGCAGGTTTCGAAACAAATTTTTATGCTACATGATCATTTTCGGACCAACTGTACATTTAAAATAATTTTTTTTCATTAATCCTTCTACTCTTCTACTTTTGTTTATCATTTATTCACTTCTTAATTCCATTATATCACATCTCAATTTTAGGGTGTGACAGAACTTGTATGCAAGGAATCGGTTCACTACCCAGGCCAACTGGAGGCCTAACCAACGTTAAATTGGCATGTAATTCTATCTTTTGGCAAGGGAGTCAAAATATTGTTTTGGAATTATGTGAACCATCAAAAAGAAAAAAAAATCAAGTTAGATAAACTGCGTTTTGTATTGAGTACTTGTAACTTTTTCCACAATGGTTAATAATGTTGCTTGCCACAACCATAAGAACATACAGACGCAAGATACCATTCACAAATACCAACTTCTGCTTTGGAAACAAAAGAGAGTAAGGAAGAAACTAAACAAGACCAAAAAAAAAAAACTCCGTAGACGTATTTCGAATGACAGAAATTAGAAAAAAAGATAAAAATGATTATGTCACCAGATTATAAAGCTCTTCATAAAATGCTATCTGATTTTGCTGGCATCCTCCTGAGGAAGTTTTGTGGGAATGTAGGGATGTTAATACGCCAATATGGGGGCCTCATCACATAAGTTCCTGCAAAAAGAGCTAACCACCAAGCAGGGACAACACAAAACACTATCCCAACAATCAAACAGAAGATCACAAACAGAGCTGTAGCTCTTGGATCTCTCCAGCTGAGCAAAGACTGCACCCTCTCCCCTTGAGTTGCTATGTCACCAAGCACTGCCTGGATCCTCCCTGCAATGCCCCGAAGCCGATCATATCTCCTCTTCAGAACATCACCGGTCTTTTTTGATGGAAATGAATCAAACTCTTCATCCAAATCCTCTGGATGTACATCATAGGCATGTGACAGTTCTGTATCTATGTGAGCAATCTGTCTCGGCCTCTTTCGGTAGTTCAAAGCCCCTCGAAAAGACAAGCACAAAAACGCTGCGGCAATTGTCAAACCAGGTTGACAAAGCACAAACACAAAGGTAATGTAGACAAGTGCCGAGGCAAGCGGATTAGTCCATTTGCGTATTTGATCAAACCATTTGAAAAGCGCAACGAGACCATCGAAAAGTTTGATGATCCTGTCGAAATTGGCCTTGCCTCTTCGAAAGCTCCAGAGATGTGCAGTGGCATCCAACATACAATCTACAACCTCTTTCCTTAATGGTGGCTCAGCACGGCTCAGCCTCAACCAGAGAATCAAAGCAGCTTGGTGTCTTAAACTAGCAAGCTGGTAAATAGATAGTGGGAGGACGTAATGCATTTTCGGCAACAGAGGCTGTGAGTATAATTGCAATAAGTTAAGCATGTTAGGACAAGAAAACCTCAAAGCCAATTGGATTTCGCCCATCTTCTTCACCCCAGAAGGTTGTAACGCCACAAGAGGATAAGAATGTGTGTAAATCCTATCGGTTTCGAGAGTGGAGAGCCGAATCTTTACCTTCCCAATGCTTAAATCCATAGCAGCCTTATCCTGCAAATTTCCATTGTCAAAAACTCCAATAGCAATGACTGTGCATGGATCATAGACTTCCCAAGTATATT